TCCCCCCACTCACCGTCTGCCACGGGGGCTTTCACGGGCTCGATCCTGGACACGATTTCTGCCAGGTCCGTAAAAGAGGTGGTGGGACAGGTCACGTTCTGAAACACAGGGATAAGTTTTAAGCACGTTAACAAATAGACACAAAAAATCTAAACAAGTCAAGACTGTATAAAAATGATATTGAGCAGACAAAGCTCCCGACACACAAATTCTCCACGCTTTGCCCTTCAAAAGCCATTACTCAGCAGTGAGAGATGGGATTCCCAAGTGCAAACAGTGGGACAACCGCCAGTGGTTCCTCCTCCATCCATGCAAGGAAAAAATTGATCAAAAAAAGACCACAAAAACAAGCACAGGAGGGTCTGGACTCTGTGACAGGCCGTGCTCATGGACTTGTTTGTTCTCCATCACTGCTCCTCTGTAAGAGGGACTGGGTGGTCCCTGGGCAGCCCTTGGGGAGCTTCTACCTTCCCTTCCGAGGAGGAGAATTGGCCCCAGTGCCGGGGGAACACTGCACGTGGCCCAGCCCTGAGCCTGGGAAGCGACGCCACGGGAAGCTGCACGGAGCAGAACCCCCTGGGAACCCCGGGGAGCCGCTGCAGCGAGCCGGCATCTGAGGGACGTGGTCCGCCCGCATGGAGAAATATTTCCCACTGTAATTCCTCTTTTCAGTAGAGCCTTTCTATTTTTACTCCGTCTCACCCAAGCAGTGGGTTGAGTGTTCTCTATTTTGAGAAGTTGCCTGCTCCAGTTTCTCCACTAATAAAACCCGACTTTGGCGTTCAAGAACCGTTTCTGGTCTTCTCGCCTGCCACGCGCCGTACCTGTCTCCTCAGGGCCAGGCAGAAGGTCACCAGATGGAAAGTTGAACACTGCCCACCTTGTTTTAAAACCAGTGATTTTAAGAAGAACAACAGCACACCCCTCCAGAGGAGAGAGATGGGGAAGAGCTGCCAGGAGGCACGTTATCGGCATCGGGCTGCCAGGAATTGCTGTGACAAGCGTCCTTCTCAATGCCCAGACCTGTCCACGTGCTTGCAAACAGGGCACTTTTCTAACACAGGCTTTTTATGAGTAAATTCTTTGCTCTTCTGGCAAGAGCACCGCTCCTCTGAATCATACAGCCCCCGTGGGGGTCACAGCAGAAGCCCGTTCCAGCTGCAGCTCTCTGCTCTCAGGTGACCTTTAATCCGTGACTAACTTTTGATGTAATTTCGTACAGCTCGAGCAAGGTGCGGATCCAGGACAAACAGCTGGTGGGAGCAGTGCACAGAGAAAAGCCCAGGGGGAATTAAAAGATACCTGCACAAAATGAAACGGCAGCAGCTTGGGACACACACTTTCAACGTACAGAAGTCGGGATGCTCAGTGTGACCATTAAGCAACCACCAAGAAGGGTGAGTCAGCCCAGTCTCATTTTGAAGATCTGACCTGAATGGTCCCAGTGAACCATTTGCAAAAGGTTGTTGCCCAGGACAGGGAAAAAAACATCTACATCTTCATTTTGTGCCATATGACTAAGCGAGGGATATGTGCGGACTCCAGCCACCGAGCAGAGCCGGCACCGCTCGAGGCCATCGCCCGTCCTCTCACAACACAGGCTCCGACCGTGCGGCTGCACGGACCCTTGGGTCCAGGCTCTTCTCAGGAGCACAGAGCAGCCCGGGACCACCTCGGGAGGGGACAGAAGTCCAGGGAACTGCAGAACAAACCCTGGTGGTCACCAAAACGTGCTTCAAAAGCACCCTGAGCTGTGAGGACGGACACGCGGGGAGGCAGCCCTAAGGGTGACCGTGCCCGCGGGAGCACATCTGCACCCCAAAGTCCTTGGATGTCACTTGCCGGGAAACCAGGTGTCTTCCCCCACTCCTCTGACACTTTGCAATCAGGAATTTAGTGTTCAAGCACCTCCTCTTACCAGTTTTAAGGATGAAACCTCACTCCTGTCAGAGAACTGTCTCGGGTTCATTCGAACCTACTTTTAAACCTTCCTGCTGTTTTTTTTCCTTTTCCCCCGAGGAGGAAAGTATTCTCTTTGGCACAATCTTTATTAAATAAATTAGAGAAGAAAGACAGTTGCTATTGTAGCCTGCTAGATTATATTTAGCTTTGACTACGAATAACACTTCAGTAGACAAAACTTCCCTGAGGAGATCCAATTAACAGCGCTGCATTATTCTGTGCTTGGGAGGATAAAGGCTGTTCAAGAGAAGTTTGTGCAAGGTCCCTGTTGTTTGTGTCTTCAATATTTGCATTTTTGAAATAAGATAAACAGCGATCGAATGATGAAAGCAAAGAAAAAGCATCTAAATGATCAAATATCCGGAGTTTTAAAGTAAAAATTCAATGCTTACGACATGGAAACAAGATGATAAGAAATTGTGCTCAGCCCTCTCAGATGTTGAACGCTCCAGAAATAGCTGAAGAACTAAAACGTATATAGAGAGCATCAAAACCTTCGCTAATGAGAGTTAAAAATATCAGCTGTTATCCCTGGAAGATAGCAGAGCTAAAGGATTTAAGCGACTCTAATGGACTCAGGGAAAAAAAAGACAAACACCCCAGGGGGAGCTTGCAACATTTTTTGTTTTGTAAAAATAAATCAACTGAAAAGTCAGATGAAAAAGAATCGTGCTTTTTACTGGACTCCTGAATTTTCAGAGGAAGAGCAGAAGATCTCCTGGTCCCTGAAGCACAGCCTGGAACTGAGCCTTAGTGCCGGGTTGGGGGAGCGCACAAAGCTGATGGTTCCTGCTCCGTAACCCGGGCAGTTTGTCCACTCACTCTCCTGAACCCATTATTTTCATACTCTTGGCATCTCAGCAATCAGCCCATTTTTCCTCGCTAACAACTCCATGCACAGAAACGCAACGACAGGCTGTGCCTGCAATGAGCACGTGTCGTATTTGATCTCCAGGGCTGTGAGAACCAGGCTGGACTGGGATAAACGTTCAACAAGCTGCTGGATGCCGAGCTGCAATATCACAATTTAACTGAAAAATTAGCCTGAATTGTTGTATCCCACATAACAGGCAATTTCGAAAGAGTTCTTTAAAGGAAGTATTTGTTACAGCAATAATATTTGAATTTGTTACCAGCTGGAACTAAAATTTAGAGGATGAAATAGGACACGTAACCACTTCCGAGACACACAGTTTTCCCTCCCTCGACTTCTCCTTCTGACTATTAATAAACAAAACCCGAGTGTGAACCACCTGGTAACTAGTCCGAACACCTCAGAGGCAGAACGGGGACCCCTCTTCTGCAGCTCAGGCTCATGTGTCTCCTTTCTCCAGGTCATCCTCCCAGTAAGGAATAACAAGCTGACGAGTTTTGGGGCTCCGCAAGCTACTGGGATCACGGGCTAGTTTCCCCAAAGCTCAGTCCCTGTGCCCTCCTCGCTGCCGGGCTAACGTCCATCCCTGCAAGCGCTGCCCTTCCTCTCCCCTTGCCCACACCAAGTCCCTCCTAGCAAAATTACTCATCTCTGGATACGCTGCAAATCCTCAATGTCATCCTTCACCCCTCCTGACTTTCCTTAGTGAGGGTCACTACAGCTACGATACATTTTGGCAATCGCTTAAAATATTACTGCTCATTTCCCCATCTCTAAGAGACGATAAAGAAGAATTACTGGGTAAAACGTGAAGCCTTTTGTAGCACTTGGGTTTTAAATCCGAGGAATTCAAAGCAGGGTAAGGATAATAAGCCAATATATCATGATATTGTACCCAAGTCCCCAAAAAGGGAATAACCATTTCTTAAATGAAACTGAAACATCTCTGCCAAGAAATTCAGCCAGTCCACTGAGCTATGAACAAACTCCAGAAGCTGACCTCAATCCTTTAGCTGTAAAACCAAGAGAATTTTATCCTACTTCCAAGTAGAAATCTTAATGGGCAACACCACGCAGCCTGGAGGTTTCCCATTAACAGCTCGGATGTGCTGAACTGGGCAGAATGAGGTGCGTGAAATCCAGCGCCCGGGCAGCTGCGGAGCCTCAGGGACGGCTCAGAGAAACGGCTTTTCTATCAGGGGAGTAACAAAGAAAAGCAACAAATCAAGAAGTCTACATCCTTGCGGGGATTTTAACTCTTAGCTAAAAACAGGCTTAAATCAAGTTTTCTGGAAGCATCCGAGAACTACTCGAGTCCCATCCTGAGATCCAGCAACAGCCAAGATCAACGCGATCCCGACACATCCTCTGTGATGGAGGCGGGAGAGCAAGGGGAGAGCAGTTTCGAGCAGCAAGAACAATACCGTGTCTGCCTTCAAGGACACTTGTGAACGACTCCAAGTTACAAACGCGCTACCGAGAACCTGTTAAGAAGGAAACGGCAACAGGAGAGCTGCCCTCGGAGAACTAAATCCGTTCTTGGGCTTGCAGAGACCCCATCGTACTTGCTGAGGAACTGGGAGGGTCTCAGCACGGGCACACATCGGGTACGGGGCACGGACAGGCAGGCAGCAGAGCTTGGGCTCTGGCAGAGCACCCTTTGGCCAAAGAAGTGCAGAGACCTCATTCATCCAGGCTCTGGTTCAAGGCCGGAAGTTTCTGGAAACTTATTGTACCTTTTCTTGCATAAAATATGGTTTTAACTAAAAAAAAAAAAGCACGCTCGCAATAAGGACTTGAGGCAATCAATCATTCTCCTCCGTACCCCGCAGCAGTTTCCACACAACCCGGTGTGCGTCAAGCAGCTCCTGCCGAATTGTGCACGTGAACCCAACACTTACATCAGTTTTGGATTTGCAGGTCTCTTGCCTGTCTTTTAGCATCTTGTCAAGGACTCCACTCCTGGACCAGACGTTAAATACCGTTTTCCCATGCTGATATCCCACTTCCTGGAGAGAAAAAAAAGAGAGTCGAGGGGGGAAAAGTAATTAATAACTAAAAACTAATTGTGTCACATCCTCTGTAAATCAGTAGGAAATGTCCTTTTGCTGCCTTTCAGGCTCAGCTCTGTAAGCTGTTCAGCCTAAGGACTAGGGGAACAATGAAGCAAACGAGGGGTTATTTTAAGTCCAGAAGCTAACTTGACCTTTGACTCCACAGGAGGCAACAAAAAGGGCCACCTGACACAACTATTTTTACAGCAGTGGCTTCAAACAGGCTGCTCACAGAAGAACGCCGTATAAAGAGAAGTTTAGGACACGTATGTACATGCCTTTCCAGTGCTGGCTCTTTCTTTAGAAGAAGATAATGAATTAATTTGTGTCTTTTCCCTGCTTGGCTCAAGTCTAGCAAAGAAAAGTTCCCGTGGGGTGCCCGGTTCCAAAATCTCTTGCAATGTTAAGCAAGTCTCCAGCATCTTCAAGTCAAGAGAGACAGCAGCGAACATCCAAGCAGCCGTTTGCTGGCGCAGAAATGATGGCACACGGACAACACCAAGCCCACAAACTCCACTTTTCTCTCATTCAAAAGTACAATTTGCACTTGGAATAACGACACAGCACTGCACCCTTAGCGCGGAAACAACCGGGCAAAAATAAACCAACTGCTCCAAGTTGGACTCCTTCTAACAAGACAGTAGAAAGGGTGTTGAAAAATCAAATTTCAAGGACAGAGCAACAGGTGCCGGGAGTCCTGGGTCCTATTTCCAGCTCTGGCGCTGGCAGCACGCACTGACCCTCACACTTGGTGGCAGCTCCGAAGGCTGGAAGCAGCCCTGGCTGAGCCGGCATTGTCCCTCCTCTGGTTTTTCGGATCTGAGTTCAAAGCACGGAAGGCACTAGGGCTGGAATTCACCTCTCGTCATCAATCGTGGCTCCTCAGCCCAGGGTGGATGTGATTCCTCGGGAGGGAAAGGGATCCGACAGATCCTGCAACTGGCTGGGTCAGATGGATCCCAAATACCTGCGAGAACCCGAGCTTTGGGAAAGGGCAGGCAGCTGACTTACCACTTCGGGCTGATACAGAACAGGGGTTCTGACAAGAAGAGGGGATTTTTGTTCTTTTGAACACACTGAATGGTTACACGGTGCCCGTTTCTATTCTCTGTACAATCCAGGTACACAGCTGAAATTAAAACCCCCACTACTTCCCAGCCTGTAACCATACCGGAATGGCTCGACTGTCCCGTCCTCTGGGGTGAGCACAGTTCGAAGCTTCCCTGCGGACAAAAGTTATTCAGCTGCGCTGCGGGGAGTGAAAATCCGGAAGGGTGCTGGCCCTCCATTCCTGCAGCAGCTCGTGCCAAGAACTTGGGCACAGAAAGTGCCCTCTTCAAGAAACCACCCTTTTCTCAAGATTTAATTTGCCTGGTGTCTTTAAATCTCTTTAATGACACCAAATCAGACAGAACAATGATTTGAGGGCTTACTGTCTCTTACTGTGATGAACTATCAGACTGATTTTTCAAGGTTTTCCGAACGGCCAGGGCACTCCAGCCTAGCAAAATATATTTTTTATCAGCAAAGCCTCAGATACACCCCTGGTGGACAGCACGGTTTGCCCAGGAGCTGTGAGACACCAAATAGCCTTGAGAAAATATTTCTCTTGGGGAAATCAGCTGGTGGTCTGGAACAGCTGCTGTGTGGTCCCGAGGAGTCTCTCTAACGTGAGAGTCTTTGGAAGGAGAGGCTGGATGTGGCACTTAGTGCCATGGTCTGGCTGATGTGACGTTTTTGGGTCACGGGCTGGACCTGGTGATCTCAGAGGTCTTTTCCAGCCTCAACAACTCTGTGATTCTGTGAATCTCCAGTGTTTAACTGTATTACTGGTTTTATTTAGTATTTCTAAGACAGTCTCAGAGGAGTCAATCTGCAGCCTAACGAGTATTGTAGGTTCTCACACAATATCTATAAAGCAGATTAGCTTAAAGAAGAATGGATTCCCAGCCCAGGAGAAGAGCAAAGCTGTGCAGAACCACCTGAAGATGGAAGATGCTCACACGGCTGAAGCAGGTGAAGACTGGAAAGAGACAATAAAATAACTTCCTTGGCAAGCGACAATGAGGCAGAATTGCTGCCATGACCTCAACCCAGGCAGAGAAATTCTTGTTGTGAACGCTGCATCGTGGCACTAAGGCAATTCAACTGCACATCTCGAGTTGGTTCTTCTCTTGCTGGTTTCTGACACATAAACAAAAAAAACTAAACCTCAGAGACACGTAACCTGGTGCTACCCTTTACACAACGTCCTTCCACTGACATTGGTGCCGTTTTCCTGACACTGTATCGGTGCAGAGGAACGGCCGGTGACGTGTTTTATTAATAGAAGTGTTGAAAAGTTCACGGAGCCAGGTATTTGAGCGTGCTGCCCTCCACTTCAGTGATTCACGGCCTCCCCTACAGACTTCTTCCAATCTTTCATGCGACAACGAGCTACATAATAAGGGAGAGAAGTGACACCGTCTGACAAACCCCAAGTGCCCAAAGCAGCTCAGACACCCAAGAGTTTTCACCAAGCAGCCGAGCGAGAACTGTCAGGGAACAGAGTGAACTGATCCGCTCACAGGTCATTATAAAATCAAGATTACTAACTCGATTTCTGCGGTTAATCCAATCTCACAGCCACGATATCATTCCACAGCATTATTTAGTGTCAATTATTCACTCTGCGCCAACTGACTTCTCTTACTTTCCAGCAGCTTAGGCACTAATTAACAGCACAAACCAGCAGATTTCTGTGGAACAGCAATACGAGGGGAACTGCCTTCCCCAGGAGGCACTTACACAGATCTCATCAAATTTCCCGAAGTCCAGGGTACCGTATCGGTCAATGGGCGGCCGGATATACTCGCAGTAATCGCTGCTCTTCACCATCTCCAGCTGCCGCACACAGCACACGTAGGCAAGCCGCGTCTGGATCTCTGCCATATTCAGCACCTGCCAGAAACAGCAATCATGATTAATTCAGAAACTGAATTTCAGGATATCTTCTCTATTCACAATGGAGGAAAAGCAAGTTATCATTCCGTTTTTTTTTTCCCCTCAAGTGTGCACAGAAGCCTGCAGAAGCCTTCACACATGGGCACCTCCATCTGCTTCTCGGGCAGTGGGGGCAGCCAATGAGTCTCCATCAGCAGCAGCCTTTAAACAGATATGAAGGATGAACCAAGTCTTTCATTCTAGAATACAGCAGTACCGTCAGAGAGGGATCAGTGCTGAGGTGAGATGGGCACAGAGATCCTTAAAGGCAAGAATCGGTGATGATCTCTACAGTACCAGAGCAGAGATTTTGCAAAATGGTTGAGGTTGGCCTCTTGAGATCATCTAGTCCAACCCTCCTGGCTCAAGCAGAATCACCTAAGGCAGGTTGTCCAAGACGGTGTCCAGTTGAGTTTTGGGTATCTCCACAGATGGAGACTCTACAACCCTGCTGGTTGGACAGTGTTTCACTACTCTCAATTAAAAAAAAAAAGTGTTTTCTGGTGTTTAGACCTTCCATGTTCTCAAGTGTGCCTACTGCCATGCGGGCAGCTGTAATATTTCACTGGGCACTACTGAGAAGAGTCAGAGTCTTCAATTTTCCCCCACCAAACACTCCCACTGCAGGCAGGGCACTCCATGGCTGCGCCAACCCCCAAGGGTCGCTGCTCCGGGAGACCAGACCTCCCCAGGGAAGGGAGTTGTCTCAGAGGAAAACTTCATATTACAGAGCCGTACCCACGGTTTGTAGTATTTTCCTCAACTCTGGGAAGCACAAGCAAGTATTTTCCTTTCCATTCCAACAGGGGAATGTGTTAATCGTTGGGAGGGAAGAATAAATCAAAGCGTTCACTTAGGGGACAGCTGCAGAGGCAGATAATTTGGGAAACGCAGAAGAGTAAGTAACAGCGTTGGCCTGACTGTACGCAACAAGAGGAAAAAAATAATAATCACGCTCTGCAGCCCTGCGTTTATCAGCACTGCTAACAGTGCTAACAGCTCCCTAAATCAACAGTTCACAGACATATGGGATAGAAACATGGAATTGGACAAAGGTTCTATTTTTTTTAACCAAAATTTATAAATTCTGCCTTTATCCAAATTTAACGCACCCCTAAGAAAAGATTTTTTTGCTCTAACAATTCTACTATCCCCATCCCAGACTGAGGCTCTTCTAACTTTCACCCACGTTCCTGCCTTTCCTTTGGCGTCAGGGCACTGCCCAGGTGTCTTTGCTCACAAGTAAGAGCTCAAACCCAAGTGAGACGATGGTCTGTCACCCGGCTCCCCAAATGAACGTGTCATCAGGCTCCCCGAATGAATCAGGGGAAGCTCCCTGCTCCCTGTGTAAAAAGAGCTGCCATTCAACCCAGTCTGCGATACCTTGACTTTCTCAGCCAGCGGGTTCCACCTCTTCCAGAGCAGCCACCAGCCAGACAAGCAGTCGCCGTAGTTGGTGAGGTCGGTCTCATCCCGGCTCCCCACGTCGATGGCGATCACCACCTTCGCGCCCATGGACCTTGCGACATCAGCTGGTGGGAAGGAAGGTCGTATCAGTACCAGGGCTGCCCCGTACCCACCGTGAGTGCCTCTATAAACACTTGCAGAGACCATTCCCCCTCGAGGAAGCTCCTACCCTCCCTGCTCCGTTCTACCGGCGAGGTCCCAGCGTGCTGCCCACTCCGAACGAGCACCTGTGTAACCTCGGCGTGAGCTCCCATTGCTGAGCTGCTGGCACGTATCACTCCTGGAGTATGTTTTGCCCCCGATCGGTGTGATGACCTGGCTCTCTCCAAGGCCAAGCTGTCACCAGGACCCATGTGAAG